ACTTCACTTTTTCCCAAAATTGAAGGCAGAAAGTATAACATTTTGGTTATTCGTTAGGAGGAACATATCACATGCTGACCACAAATACCATGTTTACTTTGCATGCGATGTATGGGTATGGTGGATAGACGAGGGAGGCGAGTAGTGGGCTTTAGTCAAAAGACTATCAATGAGTATTTCCGTAAATCAAGGCTTGGGGCATATCTCTACGCAATTTCAGTCGCCCACGATCCGGCAAACTACAAGATGTATTGAAACTAAGGCTAGCAACCTAAAGATGCTTAGCGTGTATAAGCTCGTAGATCGATAAGGTGCTCTATTTCTATCTGCGCATGATGAGTGATAAACACCTGGAATACTGCCGAATCGGTCGCGACCGAAATCGCTTGAAGTATGCCCGGACATCAAAAGCAGCGACAAGTAAAATCTATGCTGCTCCGATTATGCTACCTAGCCTAGAAATAGGCACAGAGAGAGGTATTCGCGTTGGTCCGATCTCTACTGTGGCCTTTGAATCTCTCGGGGCGCCTGGAACGAAAGGGCTATCAAGTCCATGCTCATTCTATCAGCTCCTCCCATCTAAAGAGTGAAAATCGAAAAAAAACATAAACAAAAGCAATAAATTACCTACACCATGAAGTTTTGAATTTTACTCAAAGAAGAGTCTTTGACAAAAAATCAATTCTAACGGCAAATTTAACTAAGATTTTGATATGAAATTTACAAGCTACCAAATTTTGGGGTAACTGAAAGCACAGGCTACTCGGGCGAAGCGCAAAACCTAAGGGCACTTTTGTCAGCCGCTGAGCGCAATAGGTGCCATATGTGCGATAATGTGAGAATGACCCCTCCAGGGTGAAAGAGGTCACAGCGGTTGCAGCCCCTCCGGGTGAAGGGTGTATCACTTGGTAGAGAAATTATAAAATGTCGACCAGAGGGAGGGGTGGGGGGGGGGGGGGGGAGGGGAGAGCCATGGTTTTCTCTCATCATTTTTCCTAGTGAAAGCTTATAATTTTCATTTCCTTGCCATCAGTGGTTGTTTTTTTCTGAAATGTGAACCGATGCGCTGCCGGAATAGCACACAATTATGTTTCTGACCAGCACCCTGTATTTTTTTACATTTACCTTTCCCCTTTTTTACATCACCCTGCCCGTTTTTGAAATTACCATAGAAGGTGCATGCGAGAACAGTTGTTTCGGAAAGAGACAATTTTTGAGTATTTGCGAATTTTCTGAAAGAAAAAATTCTTAATTTCTGTAGATGAACAGAAGCGTCAGCAAGAAAATTGTTTTCAGAACCATCTCGTCCTCCGCTTTCAAGAATATATACTTTGCCTTGGGTCCATTAGAAAAAGTGCCCTGTGAAAGGGAGTGAGACTCTTATAATGGGAGTTCTCAAAAAGACGTCTTTTTACAATGGTAAAAAAGCTTCCACCTGAGAACTCCCATTATAAGAGTCTCACCCACCCTTCATCAGGCACTTTTCCTAATAAACCTCTCAGGCAAAGTACATATTTTCTGAAAGCGGAGAACGAGACGGTTTCAGTGATAGCCATCTTCATGTACTATCTGCTCATCTACAGAAGTTATGAATTTTTTTAATGTTAAAACTCGAAAATCTTCAGAAACCACTAAGCACATCTTTCACTGGGTACTTCTATGAACGGACTCTAGGCGAACTACTTATTCCCTGAAACCAGAGGGGAATGATATGGCAGGGAGCTTTCCTCGCTGACGTTGTTGTGCAGCTGCAGAAGCTACTATTTTTCCCTCCTGGAAGTTCGTGAATGCCTATAAATCTTCTTCCTCCTTTCCGATACACAAGCAATTCCCGTACAAATATCTCCTTTGCTTAATCTTGCCTCACTGTTGTTTTTTTTCTCGGCTTTTAGTGAAGGGGTCACCTTGGTCCCGGTTCAGGGGTGAAGGGGGGGGGGAGCAAATTCTTACACTAGCGCACCTATGCTAAGCGCAGAGTACGCAGCGGTGAAGATACGCGCAACTCCTCCGCACGTGCTCGACTGACACTGCTTTTGCGTCCCCCTCCCCCCTCCCCTCCTCTCGGCAGTAGCCTTTAGTAAGGCAAGTAGCACATAGAATTACTTTCAAGTGCAATTTCTGGAACAAATTGTGCAAAGTGATTTCTCATAATACTGCCATATTTTTCTTCCACCTGTAGCAAATGAATGCAAATGTGTTGTATCAGCACTTTACTTTCTATAACTACTACAGTTGATAACTATTCCTATATCAAAAGACGCACCTTGAGCTGAGTTAAATTATGTATTAAAGAGAAAATTCGTCCAGCATTAAGCGAGAATTCATAGAATCCGTAGGACGTAATGGCAAATTTCCTCGGCCACCTCGTTCTTTTTCTTTTCAACAAATAAGGGAAGCGTACTATGTGTTTTTTGACCAAAAAATTCATCATTAGTCCTTTAGAGTGGATAAATAATGGAGGTGGTTTCCAGCTTAATATTTTAACTTTTTTTATGCATCAAGGTGTTTATGTACTATACTTAGTATTGTTCGTTTATTGTGAGCGATCTCAAAGATTCCGGACAGACTGTGCTCAACGGACTCGTCTTGTCAAGGTGTATAGGTCTTCTTTAGTTTAAGAATTAGCAATGAAGGAAGGCACCGTCCACCCAAAATCGAGGTTGGCGAGATTATGATGGCATACTAGTGTGAGCCCTCACACTAGACAAACCCCCAAGCTTCGCCGCAAAAGACTGCTTCTAGAGCGAGAAATCCGCTCCGGAGATAGCAAAGCAGGCGCCCACTTGCGTGCTTTATCTCGCTTGCGCTTTTTGCAAAGGTTTCTCGAAGCAAGGATTTTTGGGGGTCTTCGCGAATTTTCGACTCCATATTCGGAATCAGGGCTTTCAGAAGGCCTGAAGGCGACAAAAACGTTGAATTCGAGATTTTGGGTGGACGGTGCCTTTGAATTGATGCGATGTGATATCCACCTTTTCGCAGAACAGAAGCAGCCGGTATCGAACTGCCAGTTTTGAAAACCGTTTTGTTCCAAGTGTCAAAAGCATTCTCAGAATTTTTTCAAACTTCCTATCATAATTTGATTTGGTTTGGAAAGGCCATACGATGATATGCTTGATAAGTCAAGAATTTCTATATTGAAAGCCTTGCAGCATCATAAGCACGATATTGCATCTAAGTTTCCAGACTACAGGCTTTTTCTACCAGGCTCCCATTTTCATTGAGATTGGCGCGATGTTTTCTAACTTGCGATATGTGAGAAACTCAAACCTATCTTTTCTATGAACCGACGAGCTCATAGTATCGGTTCGATCGTGTGTTTATCTTTGCAAAAATTTTGAGGCAAAGACTGTTTCTGAAATCCGGACTTACTTGAGTCTGAGTCAATTTTTTAACAAAGTCTTACTTTGTTAAAAAATTGCTCTGATTTACCCATAGTTACCGAAGAATACGTATGTACAATATTACTTTTTGACTTTTGCCATCGCAACTATACTCGCGACCCCAGTAGAAGTTTTGCCGGGTAGAAACATTGAACTTCCATGAGTATTCCATGATTTCACTACAAGTTCGCAGAGTTTTTATTGCATCATCACTAAGCGGTTTGTTACTAGGCAAGCTAGCTACATCAAAAAAGCTCGTTTTTCTATGAAAAATGCGTTCTATATTTTTTCAAAAGTTGTTTCTCGATTTTTTATTTTACAAAGCATTTCCTTGATAAGCAAAAACTGGCTATACTTGCATTTTTCGTTTTTTCCAAGGAGGTCGTATAACTTCTCTACTGAATAAACGGTACAGAGCTCCTAAATTGCAGAGTCGTTTGCACCAGCGGTCGCGCGACCGCGTCGCGCCCGGACATTTTGCCGGCGCCATCGAACGAGGCGGCGCCATTGATGCCCGGGCGCGACGCGGTCGCGCAACCGCTAGTGCAAACGACTCTGCAATTTAGGAGCCCTGTAGCTCTGTTTGTGCTACATGATGATCTATGCTGATAAATCGAAACTGTGCTGTTACGCTTGAAGTGTTTCGAAGTCTCAAGAGATCTGTTTATGACTTCCACTGCTTAAGTCGCTCTTCGTTATGCACGAGTAATTTTCGGTTCAGCTATTTGTCCTTGTCATATGCTTTGATACATGGTTAGAAACACTATCAGACACTCAAACAATAAAATAATGCAGCGCAAGTCGTTATTCTTTGTCGGCTGGGTAAATGTTGGTGGAAATGAATTTTCTAAAGGCAGTTATTTTGAAAACAGCGATTTTCCGTCACATTAGCAACTTCTAATGAAAAAGATTCATGACTTCCATACGAGAAGTAAAACATGTAAAAGCGGAAATAATTATTTTCTGCTCTCTGAGAACTGTTGCGAGATCAAAAATTGAGGCCAATTTTCTCACAACATAAAGTATATCTCGCACTGCAGAATTTTGGGATGTAGATATATTGACATGAACCAAGAAAAGAATAATCTGTAAGAAATAACAATAAGAATAAACATATCAACCTACATAATACCTTCTGAAAGTCAGGGTGTTGTATTCGAACTCCACGGTGTTTTTCTATTCGAAATTCGTCGCACCACAGCACACGGAGTTTTTGTCCCATTTAGCTTCGCTTTTTTAACTGATAAAATTTTTGAAAAACATGCATCGTGAAACTAGATTTTAGTAAGTAAAACAATAGCATTTTGAAGAGGTTCAACCTGGAATTTGATATCCTTCTGAGCTGGCTGGAGCATCGAAATTATGGGACGTGGTTTCACTTCTCAACTAATTGAAAAAGTATCTGGAAGAGTGCAATTTTTGCAACATAAAAATGGAGGTACCCATGACCCATGATCCAGCTGTGATGATTGTCGACTCCCTTCGAACAAACTAATCCAATAGTCCGTTAAATCTGAGAAATACAAAAAAAGTCTTCCGGAATGTAAATGCTTGAATAATCGCGTGAATTATCGCTCTTTTGAGCAGCAGCGAAATAACACGACACTTTCTAACCACTTTAGCGGAAATGGTCGAAAAAACTGAATAGGAACTTGATGGGTTTTGCAATGGTTATGCATGGACTTGAAACAAGGATTGAGCACTAGGAGATGTCCTCCAGAAGGTGTGCGCTTATTTGCTTCTCTCTACTAGCTGTGCATAATACGGAATTCTGAAGTGCTAAAAATTCAGTTGAACTGGAGGCGGTAATGGAGTATATGCACGAGTGCCTGCGTGCAAAAAAGGTAAATTTTTCTGTTTTTTTTTTGTTTTGTGTGGTTAATGTATCGATAATTAGGTTCCGTCTTGGGTTATATGGGCCTTCGTCGCTTGCTTTCTTCTCATCATTGCTGTTCTTTTCTTGGATTATTGCGTTATTCGGCGAAATGCGCTCGGTAACACCTGCTGCTCTCGTTCTCGAAAAGCTGGACCTGCTTCCTCACAGAAACGTACCACAAATATGCTTCTTAATGTATGAAGATAGGTTTGTGAAAGGAAGTCTTCTTCTCTGGCAGATTCTTATGGAATCTGAACCGTAGTCATTAACATTCAAATTGTCAGAGAGGTGTCTATCGTAAGGCGCGGATTACCCACTCAATATAGTCAGAATGGCATTCAATTACACTGAAAGTAAGCTTGCAGGGCTCCAAATACTTTTTAGAATTATGAGCCAGTTTAGCAAAAGCTTTTGTAGCACTGAGATCTAAAGAAACGAAATAAGCTTTGATCTGGAGACAAAAGGTCTGAATACCTTGAAAATGATGTCATCAACCATCTCGTTAGTGCTTACACATTGCATCAATCAAAAGCCCAGATCTATTACCCACTTTATGTGGCAGCTTGAAAAGGTGCAGTGTCAAGTTGAGCCAGTTTTTAGCCTTTCCAAAATGAAAAAATTCGCGCCTTGCGGCCGTCTCTACTGTTAGTGTAGGAAAGTCTTTGTGTGTTGTTTTGATCCTGTAAATTTATGTATTCTCCAGTTTTATTCTTGCTGTGTATAGAATACATATTCTGCTCAAAATGTCATGTTTAATGGATAAATAAACCATGGACAGCTAGTTTTTTGATGAAGTACAGAATTACTTGAGGATCTGTGGCATAATGGGAAAATTAGAATGATTTTAGAATAAGAAGTTTAAAAGTGTAATCTGTACTACAAGTAAAGTTCAAAAAAAAACAAGTTTGTACGAATACTAAACACTATAATGTTTTGTTAATTACTAAACACTATAATGTTTTGTTAATTTCCTAACAAGGCAAGAGGAGGACCTTACGCAGCCGTGGACTTTCCACATGAAATATATCTATGGAAACCCTCGCCTTGAAAAGGTGATCTCATCTATGTTTAGTATCTGCGAAATAAATTTGTGGAGGAAGTTATGAAAGTTTTTTGGTGGAAAAGCGCCTGTTGCACAGGATCAAAATGGGCGCTGCGATCTCTCGCAAAAATTGCGATAATTTCTTGCCCTCCTTGAGCAAAATAAGTCATCTGCGGTCAAGAGGTTTGGAACCAGGGTGGCTGCTAGTTGATATGTTCAACAATTTGTGAGCCACTGCAGAATATATTTGAGTGTGTACGGGAACCAAACCCAATTCCTGATTTTTGTGGAAATCGATGTACAACGTCACACACTTTTTAGTATTACAAAAACGCATTGATTTTCATGAGAAATAAGAAATGAAGTTGAAGGGGTACAGAAAATGGTTCGGTACACAGTCACTATTTTGCTAAGAAAAATATATCACATTTACATAGAGGCCCAAAGATCGCACGTCGAACAGTTACAAAATTAGAAGAAAAATAATACTATGACAAGCTTATTGCAAAATCCCAGCGAATGACAAAATTTATATCAAAATGAGTGGAATTTTTTTACATTTCTAAATAAGGTATACCCTTACTTCCACCTAAAAGAAAGCCGAGGCGAATTTCGACTATGCAGTTACACCTTCATGACTTGATTGCTATCAAGCGTGAGAATTACGAGATTGATGAGTCTGCAATCCCTTGCCACAACTTTTTTACGGCAACACAGAGAATCAAAAAAGGTCAATCTTGGTCAAAGTAGAGCCAAAAGCTGCCCAAAAAGATTGCAACATCTCAAAGTTCGAATCATAGCAAATCGAGAAATCTATCAGATGAAAAACTCGGTTTAGGAAAATATTTGTCGAGATTCGCAAAAAATAAAGTTTCCGGCACGTACTTCCATCAAATAACACATCCTTAAAATGAGAGGTTCTTAGAAAGTTTAGAATTAGAACAAAAAGGCTATTGTGCGAATCTTGAGTACTTGCATCTGTACAGATCCAAGGAAAATTGGTATAATTATGAGCTTTCAGAAACAGACCTGTTTGAGAACAAATGTAAAGGACGAATATGAAACAAAACTTGCACTATCAACTTCACATATCTATAGCAAACAACCGTGCTCCGTGACGGAGGCAGTGCGAAGACGAATGTGTCCTTGTGCATGTCAGAATCGCAGAAATAGATGGGTGCGGTAAAAACAGTGGAATTGCAGCCACTTGTACCAGACAGATGAGCACCCCATCGAGCACCAGACGTTGATTGAACGTCCTTTTTCGGAGATTTGCCTTCGAGAAGCTTCAAAGAGCGATAACCATTGCATTATATAGCTTCTAGGGAATATTAGAGAACGCATATCTCCGTATGCAAAGGTGTGTAGCAGACAGCCTCTATCAAAAGCCTTACTTCAGCTCCGCTCAAAAAAAGAACAATCCAGGCTAGTGGAGACAATGGCGGAGCGAAGGCGGGGATTGAGCGGGCTGTTTTGGAAGTATTCTATGAGCTAAATTATTTTGAACTAAAATCTCTTCCTTTGTGAGACTGCAAAAAAAATTCTGGATTTAATGCCTCACTAGTTCATTTGCATAATATTCAAAAATTTTGAATAGCCGCTGTAAGAACATAGAAGAGCAATGAACTCGTTTTTTTTTTGAGGATTTATTAGCCTTGCCTTTTCGTTGATGATCGGTGTATAGCTCGTTTTAACCCCTTATAAAGAGTGAAGTACTAAGCTGGAAAAGCCAGAAAACGCTACAATCAGTTCCTTAATAACATGTGAACATGTTTTAGATACACATAAACCGATGATCAAACGTCTGATGATTACAACGCTAGCAATAGTCAAAAGAAATTATTGGAAGAAGTTATCATATACGTGATATAAATAAACATGTAGTCAGCCATTCCCCTAAAGTAGCTTTAGCATTTCTGAGTTTGGAGAGCTGGAAAATTTTTTTCAATGCATCTTTATGAAAGTCACAATCGGTTAACTTCATAAGACTCGCATAATTCGTAGGTCATGTTGACTTAATAAACACAAAAATTGTTAGTAGCAAACTACTCTTATTGCTTTAACTTTAACTTCTTTCAATTTCTCCTCAACTTATGAATTAACCCAGAATCCAATAGTATTTTTACGTTTTGAAGCTTTCTTGTCGACAACTGACGAGGGCTAGCACAGAACATTTGGTATACTTCTTGTATCCAAATCAGTTGTCTAAATTCGTAATATGACTTCTACCACTCAAGCAAAGTATAAATTAGTATCCTTTAGTTGCAAAAAAATAGGAGCATAGACTAGAGTTGTCGAGATCACGGGTAGTCTGATTCAAAACAAAATCTAGTTTTTGACTAGGGATTTGACTTGAGACGTGATAACAAAGATAAAGTAGCCAATACGTCAATTTCTTATCCCATCACTCCAAAAGGTGACCTCTGCGTGGGCTGGCGATGAAGTTCAGCAAACAGCCATTTCTCGTCACCTCGTTCACACAATGTATCATCGATCATCTTTTCGGGCACAGATCGGTGTGACTGCCAACATGAACAACATCGTCTAGATGTACCTTTTTCTTTGCGCATCGATTACGTTATTTTTATGCTGACACCGATTTTCATCTTATAGTAAATTTCGAGTTCCTTATCTTTACTAGCAATTTAGAAAAGGTTTCCACGTCTCTAAAAGGATGGCTTTTCCAAACCTAGTGGTGTCTTGACTATTACTTTTGTCACTTTCACTCATCTTGCCATTGAAATTCATCGTTACCTCTCCGACAAGAAGTCTGGTCCCTGAATTCAAAGCCAGTTAATGTGGATATGAATATGGTGTGATTGCACAAATTGACTCGGAGAAGAAGACCGCTATGACCCTTGACCCTTTATAGCTTCACAATACGCTTGAATGCCTAGATTTCTGCTCAAAAGAGTTTCGCTCTCTTACAAAAGCGAAAAGTCCTTTTTATGCTCGTTGAAAGAGGGGAATATATATCATATTATCGAAAATAACAATGACCGATTTGTACAACATCGTTATTAGCAAGACTACTTCAAAAAAGAACTTCCTTACAAATATCGATACATCGATACGAAAATCCTAATGAGCTAGATTTTCCTTTGCCTCTCATTAATTGTGACCAGTGATGAATGCCCGCCTTCTATGATTCATCAGATAGTCACTCCGAAGCAGATGTGATGCGATTGTTACACAGTGTTTTCTTTAGTGAACCTGATATTGCTACTTGCTTCGATTGCCATTCTCGTTCGTTTTCCATCCATCTTCAACGTCCGTCACACTTTTTGTGGTTTCATTTGTGTCCACTTTTCGAGAAACGTCGCGATTGCTCATAAGTGGAGCAATCATTTGAAAAAATGAGATAGAGAGATTAGTCAAGAACGTTGATTTTGACTGACGAATTGTTCACGGATGTAAATCCGATTTTCACTCTGAGTTTGAGTGAAGGGGAGTTTTCAGTGGTTTTATCATTGAGAAGTTCGCAGTGGCAGAATTACCCACATTTCTGCTCTTCTTTTTTCCTGGATTCAGGTAGCATTTCAAAGACAGTATGGTTTGTGATTGTTTCGTAACATTAAACACGCGATTCGTCCAGTAGTATCAAGTTTGGCTATTCTACATTATAAATAATTTTGAAAACTTCTGTGACTCATACAGAAAAAATTTCGCATATATTAGGTTGCCGCATAAGTTTTACTTATTTCGTTACTTTTCTTTTTGACTGTGACGCATTCATTTTTGGACATAATGTAGATTAGGTAGTACGCTACAAAAGCGCACAAAGAGTTTAGTTTTTGATGGCGAAGTAGAGAAAATTTTAGCAATTTCGGAAGCTGTTATCGAATTCGAAAATTCATGGGTCGGAAAACCAAAAGTGAAGCCGCTTTTAGTCTCAATGGAACGCATCAAGCCGAAACTGTATGGATCACTGAAGATTCCTCTGTCAACAATCTGGGTAGAATTTCGGCATGATGTGTTTGATTCAGACTGAGAACGGCTGTATTTTTGGTTTTCCGACCACTGAAATTTCGAATTTGACCAGCTTTTGAAAATGTGAGAATTTTCTCTGTTTTGTTATCAAAAATCAAAGCGATTGCGATTATTTGTACATTTCCACCTAATCTACGTTATGCTCAAAAATGAATGTGTCACATTCAAAAGAGAAAAATTACAAACTTAGTTGCAAGACTAATGAGCCAACCTATTATATCGCAATCATTTGGCTTTTACGGACTTACTTATGCAAAGTGCTATACGCACTATTTGGTCCGGAAGTTCCTCCATTTCCAAAAAATCGTAACTCCTTCCCCTCACAATAATCTTGAAGGCAGAAATATTATGGAAAGAGTAAATCTTTTGAGGTCCGGCGATTTGAGGCAAGC